TTGCGAGTTGTTGCGTTACTTAATTTCTTAAAGATTTGAAAAAAAATGTAATTAATGAAAAATATCTAGTTCGCAATTAAACATACGTTTTTTCCTTGCTATCCCAAGAAAAACAATAACAAGATCTTTAATCAGATTTAAATGAACATTTTCATTTCTGTTTTTTTTATCCTTCCAGACTGATATATTCTGTACAGGGAAACTTGCTAAAGCTCAGTGGCGTTTATTTGCTGTAGAAATTGCGAAATGTACGATGATGCCTGCTGTCGAAATTGGTCAGTTTGTAGCCTTAGAATCTAAATCCCGCATTAAAAATCAGAATTTAAGATTAAATTTAGCAAAACATTTTTCTGCACGCTCGCATTTCGTCTGGTATTCAATACATTCTGTTAGACGTCGAAGACCTGAAATATCCATTATTTTTAAATCACATTAGAATGTTTTTAGTTTGTTTTCGATTTAATAAAAAAGTATGTACATTACATTATAACGCTTGATCAAATATAATTGGTTTTATTATTGTTTTGTTTTTGAACCAGCAAATTATTTTTTGGCCATTTCAGAGACTTTTCCAACTGAAACAACAAAAAAGCGAACATTTCTTGTTTAACATCATTTTTGTATGCTATTGAGAGGTTAGAGCTGAGTTCTTTTCCTTATGCCTTTTTTGAACTCAAATTTTGAAGTAATATAGCTTTGTCAGATTGTATTGCAAATTCGCGAGCTGAACAAAGTAACTGAATACATTTATTCTCCAAAGTTTAAATCTCACACATCATTTATCCGTAAAAACATGAAAAAGTAAAATTAACTTTAAGTTTTCCACGTGCCTGAGACTGCAAAAAAGTCGGGAGCTCTGCTCTTCCCAACCTCATTACGAAAGCTTCGATTTAGTCAATGAGTATAATCAGTGATTTTTATAGCAAGCCGTCTGATTGTTTTCGGAAATTATGCCTGGTTGTTTTCTAGTCTTTTTTCTCCAGCTTAAGGGTATAAAAATACAAGGCCCAATTCAGAATGTGTGTAATAGGGGGCTATAATTTTCTGAGGGTCTGTAATGTGAAAAAACCGCAAGTTTGAAATAGGACAAATTAGTAATGTAAATGCTTTCCAATTTTGAGCTACAATGATACATCTTTCATGGTTACGTAGCAAAAAGCAGACATGTCATAAAATAGACACTTCATAAAACCAAGAAAATTAAATATTTCGCACGCTTGTGTTCGCATCTCGATTCTGATTGGCTAACAGCGTGTCTAGTTTACGACATGTCTATTTTTGTCTACAAAAATTTAGTTATATCAAAATGAAAATGTCCTTCTGTTATTAGTCAGCCTTTGCGACTGAAATTTTCTGTAAAGTGAAACTTTTTTCGATTCTGACGTTTATTTGCGTCTACAAATTGCTAGTGGTACAACGAATGCAGTCGAAGCTGGTCAGTTTGTGGTAAGCCTGAAAGTACAAGTCAACTGAGAGCTAATCCTCACACACTATCATTGATGTAACTTTTGATTGAATACACGATCTGGTGCTCTCGGAGCAAACGCTTCATCGAAATAAATCTTTTGTAATCGCTTTTTGCTTTCAAAGGCTCAACCTAGTCCTTGCTTTCTTGAGTCTCAACCATCGTGGCAATGTTAAAAAGACATAGTTAGCTCCTAATTATGGAGAAAAAAAATTTGTTCTCAATAGTTAATTTGTTTTCGCCACCCAAAATTGTTGTGCCTTGTAAGAACGCGAAAAAAGTTTCTCTACATCAAATGTCAAGTTGCACAGAAGTGGAAGATAGGCTTAGAATCTAAATCCAGTTCTAAAACTAGAATTTTGCATTTGACTTATCCAACACTTTTTCTGCACGCTCGTATTTCGTGTGGTATTCAATACATTCTCTTCAAAAAGTTAAAGGCCTGAAGCATAATGACACACTTCAGACGTTTTTTGTATTATGGGGCTGTTATTTTCTGAGGGCCTAAAAGGTGAAAGAACCATATGTTGGGAATAGGCCAAATCAGTACTGTAGTTGTTTTATAGTTATTTGCATGATGTAATGGCTTAAATGGAGGCTAGAATTGCTAAATGCGTGATGTTGCAATGTGAACGCAACGCAGAGGCAAAGCGAAGCTTCGCAAGATTTGCAATAACAGCAGCATAAAAAACTAATAACAAAATAAATGAAGTTCGTTGAAAAAAACTAGGTGAAACAAAATTTTCGTATGTCTCAATAAAGTATAGTTAAAAGCCCAACTAAAGCTGGAGGTACGTGTTTGTCACTATTTGTTTATACTGATCCGTATGAAAGGAACAATTTCAACAACACGATTTTGCCCAAAAACCTTAATTCTTTCTCTACTATAATAAGGCAGAAGAGGTAAAAAAAATAGTGAGCTATTTTCCTACGGAAGTAACATTTCTCTAACGAATTATTAGGTAGTCGCCGCTTCGAAAGGAAAATGTCTCGCAACAGGTTAGAAAATGGTTCGCAGCCTGTAAATAGAATTGAATCCAGACACTCAGAGTTGCCACTAAAAATGTCAAAAAGTTTCAATAAACAGTCAAAAATCAAAAACGAGACTTTTTTAAGTGCAAAAACGTATTGTGTAGAAAAACTTGTGAGTGGCCGCTAATGTCTGAGAGCTTAACACTACTCATTATCTCCATTGATTTTTTAATCTAAGAAAAGAGGGTAATTTTAGTGAAAACGAGAAAAAAAATGGTTCAAATATTCCCCCACAGATTTTTCGAAGGCTGTAGACAGAGGGGTAAAGTGTGAAGAAACTAGGGGAGTATACAGACACTCAGGGGCGTAGGCGTTCTTTCCATTGATTCCCTTTTTTGAAAAGAGGAAAAAAAGTGTTTGCAAAAAACTAGACTTTTTCAAGTGCAAAAACGTATTGTGTAGAACAACTTGTGAGTGGCCGCTAGTGTCTGAGAGCTTAACACTACTCATTATCTCCATTGATTTTTTAATCTAAGAAAAGAGGGTAATTTTAGTGAAAACGAGAAAAAAATGGTTCAAATATTCCCCCACAGATTTTTCGAAGGCTGTAGACAGAGGGGTAAAGTGTGAAGAAACTAGGGGAGTATACAGACACTCAGGGGCGTAGGCGTTCTTTCCATTGATTCCCTTTTTTGAAAAGAGGAAAAAAAGTGTTTGCAAAAAACTAGACTTTTTCAAGTGCAAAAACGTATTGTGTAGAACAACTTGTGAGTGGCCGCTAGTGTCTGAGAGCTTAACACTACTCATTATCTCCATTGATTTTTTAATGTAAGAAAAGAGGGTAATTTTAGTGAAAACGAGAAAAAAATGGTTCAAATATTCCCCCACAGATTTTTCGAAGGCTGTAGACAGGGGGTAAAGTGTGAAGAAACTAGGGGAGTATACAGACACTCAGGGGCGTAGGCGTTCTTTTCATTGATTCCCTTTTTTGAAAAGAGGAAAAAAAGTGTTTGCAAAAAAATCCAAAGCGTCTCGAAAAAAGAAACCCAATCCCATACACATTCATAATGACTGTTTTTATCAAACAGAACTTCTAGGCACGCAATTGAATTTTAATTTAGCAATGGAAAAAAAAACTTACAAAGCGGAAACAAAGCCGACAATCTTTGGGCAGACAGTAGTTGAGCCGAACAAAAAACTCATGTTGTAAAAAACTAAGCCGACAAAAATTGACCTGAAAAACGAAGTTTCGACTAAACAATTGTTAACTGAGAATATTTTAAAAATTGGATACATAATGAAATAAAACAATATCCAGCCGTGATTCGAACCCCTGACCTTAGGGGGCAAAAGCGACGGCATTATATTTAGGTCAAGTACAATGGAACCTGGAAGATATACCTGGACAAAATACAATTCGGAAAAGCTCAATCTAATCCAGGAAACAGATCAGGCGCTAATCTAGGATTTTCTCAGGTGACGGGCGTATTTTGAAGAACAATTTGAGGTCGACTAAATTGAATTTCCAAGCTCTACATATATACAGTGTTGGGTTTAATACACCCTCGCCCGAGTTTCTAACGTTATTTACGTTTTTAACAGTTAATAACTGTGATTTACTCAAAAAACAGAATTCATTCGCGAAAAATTCAATTGTCTTGAGATTTCAGCGAACGCAAACAGAATGCAAGTTTTGTGACCTTCTCAGAACCAAGACGATTACGTAAGTCCGAGTGTACAAAACCCATTGTTGAGAAAACCCGTTCCAAACCAGCCGTGCTTGGGATCAATTTAAGCATTGTGATCATCAGTTCAGCGAGTCCTTGGCTAATTTCTTGCTCGTCTCTGCTCAACTTGATGAAGTTTTCAACTTTGCATCCAGATGCAGGAGCCCAGTTTTCCACTCTTTAAAGCTTGTAGATTCCACAATGTTGAATGCGATATTGTTCTCGAAAAAGAACCGCCCAACTAAAATATCAAACTTGTCTTTATCGTCTTTGGACGTCGAAACGGTAAAATCGGTGATTCGGGGCTGCTTTGCGGGCGGTGGTCGATTCTCAGAATCCGCGTGTTTGGCATGATGCTTCTTCATCCTCTCAGGATTTGCGGCCGCTTCATGCCCACAGACCCTGCATTTGGACTTGTTGCTCGGAAGTCGTTCAAAATGCTCCCAAATAGCGTCCACGGGCCTTCCACCAGCGTTCGATCCAGGCATTTCAAACTGAAGTAAATCACACTTAATAACACGGCTGTGTAAATAACGTTAATAACATGTGTTAATAACAGTGTAAATAACACTGATGTTAATAACACCCCAACACTGCATATATAAGAGGTTGAACTACGTTCATCGACTCTTAATCATCGCTACCTATATAAGAGTCTGAACTACGTTCATCGACTCTTAATCAGAAAACCTATATAGACACAATTCGAGCGGAAGAGGCGTCCTTTTGTTTATCAAAAACTTGCAAAATGTTCTTAATTATCTTGATAAAATCGAGTCTTCACAATATTTAAACATTTGTGAAATTTCATGCTCAAATCTCTCAACAAAACCAGATGTTCAAAACAATTTAATTGGACATTCAAGTGAAAATTTGGATAAAAAGATTTGCATTGGGCTCAATTTTAAAACTGCTGGAGCTTCTATAGAGTCAGATCAAAAGCATGCAGGAAACCAATTTGATTTCACTTTTGCCAGTAATCTGATTGAAACAAAACATTCAATATCAATCTTTAAGGAAAGCGTAGAAAATTAGACTCTGTAATGGGTTAAAACATCAATAAAAATCATTTACTTAAACTGGGCAAACAATTCTTTGAAAAACGAATCATTCTTTTTTGAGTCCATGTGCTTTTGCTTTATAACTGCATGTAAATATCCCTATTACAGCAAACAAACTGCATGATTTTCTTTCATCGATATTTTTATTTCAATAGTTATGGATGAAAAGTCGCTTCCTCCCCTGCGGAAAAAAAAACTACTAGGCAACGCAAGCTTATGTAAGCAAGGTTGGCATAGACACGAATACAGGTCGATAAACTTGCACTAGCGAATTTTATAAATAGCTGATGTTTAATTTGTTTTTACCATCATTGCAAGTTTCCTGTTAAAGAATGTATAATAACTTGAAAACTGCATACAAAAGCTGTTGCTATATGATTTATTTTAACAATCTTTCCTATTTGTATGCTGAAAAAAGTTAATTATCAAAACGCAGAGAGCATAAAAAGGAAAAGGACAAGGAGTAAGTGGTTATTAGCGGATTGTTTGACCATGTTGATTACGATTTCAAATTGAATAGACTACAAATTACAATCGATCAACAGTTTAACAGGAGCTTCTCGGCGCAGTTTCACAAAATAATTGATCCTGTTAGAAGTCGAAAGTGTTTTGCTTCGAGACAAAATGTATCCTTTTTCTTAATTAAAACTGTTGAAACTAACATGATCACCACAAAAGATACAAAATTGAACTTTGTGATCAAATTCAAAAAGCCACTAAACTAAGTTGAGAGCACATCAAACCAACGAGAAAAGAACGGCGATAATTTCTTACACTACAAAGTTAATAGCAGCTTCTGATTATTGAGATAGCAACTACTAGCAAATCGATATCTTCAAGGACATAATTTTTTTGATATTAAACGTTTTATAGAAAAAGTTGTCTCTTACTGAACATCCAACATCGAAATAAAAATGTACAGATCAACTTCATCCACGATTTTCAACATTAATTAAGTTGTTTTAGTCAGGTGGGTAAATTTACAAAGAAACATTTGAAAGGTCTGTGCGATAGATTATGAGTAGTTACAAAAATACACTAAGAGCTGAGAAACGCAAGTTTTACTTGATCTTCGAAGCTCCCACGTTACGTGCAGTTTTCAATTGTGCGTGTAGTAGATGTGGTAGTGGTTTCTTGACCTGTCACTTGTTTATTTTTGTTTACATCTTAGTTCCCTTGCTTCCCCCTTGTCCCTGGTTCAGCATGTCGATCGGCAGGGGGAAGATAATAGTCGAGTTCTTCTCCGCTGCGATGGTGCTCAACGTCTGCAGGTATCTCAGCTGCAGTGCCACGGGAGACTCGGCGATCACATTGGCCGCTTCCTTCAGGGCTCTTGAGGCATTGTGTTCTCCCTCGGCTGCAATGACCTTGGCCCTGGCCTCTCGCCCCGCCTCCGCTTCGGCGGCCATGGCTCGCTGCAGTTGCACAGGCAGACGCACATCCTTGCTAAAATACAATTCAAGATCATTTAAAAAGATCTCAATATCGGCCACTGAATCACTTAATCATAATTGAATGAGCAAAGTGTTATCTTTATCTCGTTCCTTTTTGATATACATTTCAAAAACATTAATGCCGGTTGCTGTGCGAATATCACAGTAAGTTCCGACCAATAACTTTGACCCATTTTCTCCATTTCTTCTCGAATTGAGCGTAGTTTGTGAAGATAAATTCTTCATTTCCTAAAACTTTAATACAACTTCTAATAGAAAACTGCATTTTAATTATTTCGGCAAATTTATTTTTTTAAATTTAAAGAAAGTAATTCAAATAAGTTTTTTTCCTCGACCTTTTCTGATGATCACTTGCAGTACATGACTTCGCCTAGGCGACAAAGTTCCCCTTGACTTTTAGTGGTCAGAAAAAAATTCAGCTTCAAAACATGATAATTGTTGGGGGTCAATTTTCAAGACTTGGGCTCGATTTTAACAATACCACCTTCCCATCAATATCAATTTTGACCCATTTTAAATGCATCTGCTTTGTCCTTAGCGTTAAAAAAACTGTAAAAAATTATCGTTGCATTCATCACATGTTTTCATGGTGAGACTACCTTTTACGCGCGTGTAGTGTAACCATTTCTAGGCGTAAGAGTCAGATGCATCTACTTGTCCTGCAGATATATCAACAGCGCTTACAAATTATGGAAAAAGTGGTTGCACGTAACCAAAACATGCTATATTTTTAAGCACATTGTTATAAACCATCAAAATGCATCAAAAATATATCGTGTCTCCAGCATGAAAATTTGGCACTGATTATATATGCCAGAAAATTCTACAAAACGTGCGTCACTTCTAATGTTTAGCTTCAATTTTCTTTACGTCATAATGATAAAATGCTTCAAATGGTGCTTTTTTAAAATCTGAATAGTCTTTGAGAGTTCAATAGCTGCTGAGAATAGTGGTCAATTATTCATTGAGGCAAAGCTGCGCTTGAATATTTGTTAGACAAATATGGACTGCAATTATACGATTTGATTTTGAGCATTAAAAACGTATCCATAACAACGATTTGCGAAAAGATATTGAGAGTTCTTATGCAAACAGTCGAAAGGAAGACTGAATGCTTGCAAGGCATAGTTTTCAAGTTTTTTGGTCTCAATTTATTTGCTGTTAACAATTTTCTGTCCATTTTCAAAAGTTGAAAAATCTTCATCAACACCAAAATTCAAAGAGTTTTCGCTTGCAAAAGGGATAAATGACGATTTGATGATATATTACAATCGATGGTAAGGTCAATTAGAACAGCTGAATCGCTTTTTGTTATACTTCGCACATTATTTATAATTTGTTCCAAATGCCAATTTTTTGGGAAACAAGTTTGAATTTTGAATTTTTCAATAGCATTTCAACTGGCACAGTAATGTACTATCTTAGCAGCATGTACAGTTGATTGAAAGTGAAATGACTCTATTATGCATAATAGTTCTTAAATAAAATACATGCACTATACTCAAAATTACCACCTATTGTAGCATATCACCGACGATTTATCACTTTCAAAATTCGCATATAGGAAACTTTCAAATTTTACAGTTGCTCGAGTATTGAGAGTGAAGAGTAGACTTGATTATAACATTCAAGGTAAAAACTTTTAAGCACAGAAGCGAAGCCTCGTATTAAGCCTCGAATAGGTAAAAACTCGGCTACGTCTCCCGCACTCACCACTCAACCACGGACGCTTCATAAACCAACCACTCGAGCCACAAATAAAGCAGAGAACAGATGCTATAAAATTTCCAATGATTTTGATGAACATTTCTATTTGTTAGGTTAGAAAAGAAAGAAGGTTCGCACTAATACACTACGCTTCGCAAGCTCGCCAGTGTTTATACCGACGAAGACAAACCAGATGCAGACAAGTGTGTTGAACAAAAAACTCTCGGACCAAGCAAACACGCAACGCAACCCTCTCACCCTCCCAAACCGCAGTGCTCAGCAAATTTAATAGAAATCAAACGCTGGTGTGGAGGATCTTAATATGGTCTATTTGGGGGGAGGATGTGCACTCAATTCAAACTATCTTTTCTTGGTTTTCCCTTTTTTGTCATTGTGTCCTTCTATAGTGTACTTGAAACACGGCTAGCAATTTTGGAAGAACGACTAAACAACCAAAGTGATATTCCAGAACATTGGCTTTTTCCGATCAAACAAGACAATAACGCTGCTGGGGCGGGGGCAAGCAAGAGTACGTTTCAACAATTTCATATTTTGAAAACTGTCAATTTGAAACAAATGAGCGCAGTTTTATACAACCACGTAGTCTAGGCTGCGAACTAACCCTGTACAAATACCTATAACTTGAGTTGAGGCGAGTTGGTCTAAATATTGTGTATTTATACACATAATATATCCCATGGCACGATGTATTTCTTGTTGTAAAAGTTGTAAAAAAGACTTGTAAAAAAAATTTGCCGCCGAAGGGATTTAAGCCGCCGACATCTAGAGTTGGAGATTTGGGTTTTCAAAATTGTCCCACCTTAAATTTCTGTCTTCCAAACTTCAGCCACCAAGGAAGCAGATAAAAACTTGCTATTAAATTGCTACAAAATTGTGCATCTTAGTTTAGAAGAAAGTAAACTCGTTATAGAGCGCAAGTGTTTGCTAATGTAAAAAATATCGAAAAAATTTAACTTCAAATTCAAAACTGTTTCACCAAATGCTACTTCAACCCCATAAATTTAAGTCAAAACACGACCAGATTTTTTCCCAGAACATTTTTACCTTGACACGAGCATTATTATTTCGATAAAGGCTCTTTTCTCGGAATTCTTCTTTTTGTCAATGTCTTTAAATTTATTAGTTGAAAATCGGCTAGCAACTTTTGTCACTGTAGAACCACTATTTTGCATTTGTTGAACCACTATCTCTCCCCAAATTTTGGCATTTGCTTGATTACATTTGCCAAATTAAACAAAACAATGTCCGGCCGTGACTCGAACCTTACAGCTAATGACTCACAGGCGTGTAATTTACCCATAGACCAAGTAAAAAAAACGTGGTAGATATTAAGTTTCCACGCAGAGGCGAAGCTGCGCTTCGCAAACACCTGCAAGAACACGACCAAAAAGCAGCTATCAAGTGAAATAAGAAAAAGTTGAAAGAAGCCTCGAATTAGCAAAAACTCGGCTACGTGTAGGACTCGAATCTGTGACCTACTGCAATCAAGAGATTTTGAGACTCACGCACTATCCAATAGGCCACGCAAGCTTAACAACCAACAAACACTAGTCACGATAACAATGGACAAACACTAGTAACGAATAAAGCAGCTACATATGCTAATATATTGGCAAAGTTATTCAGCAAAAGTGGCATCAAATACAGATAAAATCAATTTTGCAAGTAATGATTAGGAAGATCACAAATTGAAGTCATCCACACTAACTTTGGATGTAACAAAATGCAAAGCATAAAGCCACATTAAGTATAAATCATGCATTTCAAAAAATTGCGAGATATGTTGACTTAAAAAAATTCTGAAATCGAGTTTTCATTATTGTTATGTTGTTTGAAACAAATCACTTTTTTCGGTTCATTTGATGAATTAAAAATGCATCAACTGTGTTAACTTATTACTATTCGAATGTCAAAGCACGTTCTATCAAAAAGCTGTAAAGGTGCCCTAAAAGTGGAACCAATATTTGTGACTTAGATTGGAAAAAAGAAGCTTCGCAAGTCTTATGATTCCTCTGAAAATTTAGAAAATGAAATTCCATTTTTCGAAATTAGAAGTATTTCAATCTTTTCATGATCTCACACTTTTGCTGTTCGATAGTGGAGTTTGTATTCCTTTTCGCAAAGAAAATGAAGTAAAGAAATCATGACTCAAACAGCGAAAAATCAAACTCATCGAACAAAAAATATAGCAAGATATATAAAGTGAAAATCCCTTTGCTCTTTTACACTTAAAAATCAAACTCCAGTTTTGAGATCGTAAAATTTGAGACTTGCTACTAATTACAAAATCATGAGCAAAAAAGTGAAAATTCACTTCGTTCATGGGCCTTTTTTTTAAATATAACATTAGTCTTACATTTCGACTCTCTCCACCTTCACTCCCCAGGGATCAGTGGCCTCGTCCAACATGGACTGCATGGTGCTCGAGATGGTGTCCCGGTCAGCCAGGATCTCCGAGAGATTCTTGGTGCCTAACACATTCCTCAGAGTGGTGGCGGCCAGGAGTTTGGTGCTCCTGTTGGCGTCCTCCACATTCGTGACAGAGATGGTCGGGTTCGAGATACGGTAGTAGACGACAGCGTCCACTGCCACAGTCACGCTGTCTTTGGACAGGATCTAAACAATCAGATCGACTCTTATTTTAACTCGTAACTCCCCTCACTCCTTAAAAAATTGAAGAGATGAACGTCACAAACATAGCCAATCGAAGATTGGAAAAAAGTAATGAAACCAAGTAAACATAAAAAAAACACTGACTTTCTTAAAAAACCCTCAACTTTGGAATTTCAAAAAAACAGAAGATGCCGTTTAAGCTCTTTGAATTTCTAGAACAATTTATGATTGGCGATTTCTTGATAACATGAACCCAACTTGAGAAAACTGGATCAACAGGTAAAGTTTTTATTCCGCTGGGAAATCTTAAAAATAAATTCCACTATCGAAACTAGAACGTTTTTAGCGCCATTTCCACGTTCGTATTTGGAGAGTGCTATTTGCGCCACTTTCAGCAGATGAATTTCAACTGAACTCAAAAAGTGCATCCCTCATTACATCAATATTTTAGGATTTTTCCTGAGAATAAAAAAAAACAAAAAAAAATCAGCAAGACCTATATAAGAGTCTTCACTACGTTCATTACTCTTAAAAATCGGACTAGGTTATTTAACTATATCAAACACCATCCTCGTGCTTCAACCCAACCCACTAATTCTGCCTAAGTTATTAACCAAGAGATGTAAATTTATCCGCTAAGCACTGCATATACTACTCCGAATCAAAACATGCAAGTTGCGATGTGAAAAATGGCCGCGAAAAAATGCTACATGTTACAATCACATCAGTCACACTTGAAACTCTAACATTTCAATTACAAAAAGCTTAGTTTCCAAGAAAACATTAGTTGAACAAACAAACATCAGCTCCCAATCGCACAAAAAATGTCCATTCATAAGCTAGATACACAAGGGGGTATTCAACATTCTTCGAGCATATTTACATAAAAAGTTGCACCCTATTGGTGAATAAGCACACGAGATCAACCACTTAATCGTCATTACCTTGGTGCACCTTTTTAGGAGCCAAAGTTTGTGAAGTTACACTAAAACTTTTTACTCTATCAAAGACTATCGGTTTATTCGAGAAATGCTAAGTCCCATTTCGTCCGGACAATCAAAAAACTTACCATTCAATAAAGCATATCATAAAAAAATGCTAATCATTAAAAAAATACTTTCAGCTGCTCATTAGACAACATTTTTGAACGCATCAAACAAAAATATCTGCTAACATCTAGAACCCATCCTCCGGCCTGTCGATTCTAAAAAATCCAATAGATTTCAGAACATTTGCACCAAAAATGAGCACCCAACATTAAATGAGTTGAATTGTCGATCTTACAACTCAATGCCTTGAGTTCTAAATCAAAACATTGCAAGCATTTGTTTGCATTTTGCTTCATGTTTGAAGTTGATAGTCTCTAGTTTCTGTTGATCAAGATCCACTATTAATGCCGGGTGCCCACTTGTATAATGAAAATTCAACTTAATTAAACCTCATATCTTAGAGCAATGACAGTCTGAATTATGACCCTCAGTGTACATGCTAGATATTACAAAAAAAGCTAATGCGAGCTTTGCAGCGCAACACTTGCTATACGGCACAAACAGCATGGCAAGCAAACAGACACAAAATAAGACGGAAGCTACTAAATCAGAAAAAAAATTTGAAAAAATGTCTCTAACTTTCATTTTGAGGGAAAGAAAAACGTTCAATAATACAAGTACCAGCTACAGTTAGCACTAAAAAGAAAAACAAAGCGTCAAAGCGATAATACTTTTGCAGACATCTGTTGAACCTCCCCGCCAATGCACACAGACGCACACACATAGAAGTCTTGTTTTCGCCGATCAGAGCTTGTTCCCAAGCCGTTTAACTCAATAAACCGTTTTAAGCGTATAAACAACGAAAACTTAAATTTACAACCAAGAGAAGAAACAAATTTCGACATAGAGGTGAAGTTTCGCTTCGCAAACACTAGCGAATCACGACAAAAAAGCAGCTCTATAAAAAGCTACTAGCAGGCCCCCTGCAGCTAAAGCTGCTCCTGAAAGATGACAACGTTTACCTCAAAGAGAAATATAGGTTGGATGGATAAATATTTAGCTAGTTGTAAGGATGGTCGGATGGACCACTGGCTGTATGCTAAAAGGATGGATTGAAGGCACAATGGATAGCTAGACGGAGACATGGATGGCTGTCTAGATGATGCCAAGACGGTTAGTTGGATGGATGGAGATATAGATGGCTTGAGTGATGGCTGGATCGAAGACTGACTGGTTGATTGTACGGATAGCTTGATGGATGGATGGCTAAATTGATAAGCGGAGGGAGGGATGGATGACTGGTTGGTTGAAAGGCTAGATGGGCGGATGGCTGGATGGATAGCCAGCTTAAAGGGTGGTTAGCTGAACGAATGGCTGATAGCGGAATTGAGAGATGACAGAATGAAAATTTGGCCTGGCGAATTGATAGCTTGTGGGATGGAAGGCTTGGATGAATGGGTTGTTTGACGTAGAGATTGCTAGTTGGGTTGATAGCCAGATCGACCATGGATGGCTGCATGGATGGATGCGGGATGGATGGAAATGTAGATCGATGGATGGCTAGATCGACGATAAACGGCTGGGTTTAGGACGACTTGAATAAATGGATGGACCGTCGGGTGATTAATGGCTGGCAGGATTGATGGATGTCTGTAGTGATAGATAGAAGACTGGTTAACTGGGTGGATGGAAGGCAAAATAGATGGATGGCTAGATCAACCGAAAGATAGATGAATGGATTGCTGAATTGACGGACGGATGGCAAGATGAACGGATGGTTGGTTGAATTGATCAATTGATGGCTAGACGTATGATTGTTTGATAGATGGATGGATGGCTGGATGCATGGTAGCCTAGAGAGGGGCTAGACAGGCAGAAGGGTCAATTGATGCATGGATAGCAGGGCAGATGAACAAATGGATGGCTGGAGAGATGAATGGAGGGATGGATGGTTGGAGGATGTCTGGTTGGATGAATGGCTGGCTGGATGGATTGCTAGACGAATATATGGATGAATCAATAGCTGAATGCATGGATGGCTGATTAGTTGGACGGATGGCTAGGTGAGTAGGCAGATAGCGGGTTGGATGATTAGATAGATGGATGATTGGGGCTAGATGGATGGCTTGCTTGATGAATGAATATCTTGATAGATGGCTGGACGGATGGCTCGCTGAATGCATGGCTAGATGGAATTGCCGATGAATGAGTGGCTTGATGTATGGATAGCTGGTTGGATGGATAGCTAGATTGATGGATGAGTCAATTAACAAATGAATGGCCTGACGGCTGGTTGGATGAATCGCTTGATGAAAAAAAGGCTTGATCGATTGGATTATGGCTTAATGAATGGATTACTAGTCGGAAGGAAAGCTAGGAGGGATGACTTGTTAGATAGATGGATGTCTCATTAGATCTAAGAACACAGAAAGGATCCGAGTAGAAAACTTAAAGTCTTCATCTGCAACCTCCGTTAGTAAGTAACTTCACATCTCAACGCCATAGCGTAAAAGTTTCAATAAATGAAAAAAAAAAATCAAATCTGAGCTTTTTATAGTTTTTTCAATACAACGTCATACCTACAAAACTAATAAGTTTCAAGCTATCATCGTATAAAGGCCGTATCTGCAACTCCTAGACAACTCTGACATCTGCCCACAAAAGTTCGCCAATTTCAAATATTTGAAAATAAGTTTTGTGTCGAAAAACCATATCTCTGAGTATACAAGCATTGTGCAGTCAATTTCGGAGGCAAGGCTTGCAACATCTGAGAGTATCATGGCAAAACCAATTTTAAGATTGAGACTTCAACTTTCGTGAAAACTTTCCAAATTTTTCTGAAATCATTAAAAAACATTATAAAAAACGAAAAACCTATAAAGCTAAAAACAAAATTGAGCAGTCATACTTGGAGGCAAGATTTGCAACCTCTGAGATATAAATATATTATAGATAAGAAGGCGTACAAATAAGCCTCGAATGAGTAAAAATTCTACTGTCTCGGATTCCATTTGCGACCTAGAGATTCTGAGTCTCACGCACTCACCACTCAGCAACGGAAGCTTAAAAAATAACAAACACTCGATACAAATAAATCAGAGAACAGATGCTCTGAAATTTTAAATGCTACAGTTCGTGATTATAGCAAAAGTACCACCAAATAAGTGAAAACTTTTAATGAACATTTTCATTTGCGAGTTAGGTTGCGAGTTCGGTAAGTCTATTAGTTGAGAAAATAACCGAGTAGACAAAAAGAGCCGACAAAATGATTCGGTGATTCTGTTATACAAATTGCTAGCCGAAAAAATATATGTTCGATTTGATAACGCTTGCTAATCACAAGCGTAAATAATATTTTAAAAAATCAATTCCGTTTGGGGTACTTTCCAGATTTGCAAAAATTTAATTCGGTTCTTACAAAATTAATAAATCTGCAGCAGCTTTATTACTTGAGTAACTTGAAGTTTCTATCTATTTTTGGGGTTGTTTTGTAGGATAGTGCACTGCTCCTGTTGTGCCAGCAAAAACAGGTGAAACGAGAATGTATAAAGGGAAGAAAGACACAAATAATGAATCTCACTCACCTCCTGTGGAGGGACGTCGAAAGACACAGTTCGCAGGTCAACCTTCACATAAGTGTCAGTGCAGGGGATGACGAAGAAGATGCCTAAATCACAACATCATATCACACTCTACAACGGCTCTTTTAATTATTCCACCCTAATTCGCAAATATCGAAATACGAAAAAATTCAGGAAAATGCTCGATTTTCATTGGTTGAAATTGAATATATCGCTGGAGCATAGTTTGCGCAACGCATTCAGCAAAGCAGTGTCGCGCATATGAGCAATTTATGGTTACGAAAAAAAGACCTCTAGATTCGTAGATCTGTAGATCATTGACCCTCGAGAATAATTTTCGCTCTTTCAAGATTTGCCGTCCTTCCTCGTTGTGAGGTTGAAAAGCTTCCCTCGGTAATTAGCTGCTCTACAATTATTAATTACACTACGCTCTCAGATTAGGTTCGAAAAATTTAGACAAAAGATCCGATGGCAAACAATGGTAGCCCAATTGAATCCTCTGCTGTTACACGATTCCAAATTGCCAATAACTGAGCCCCTGATTTATTAGTATCCGGATTTTTTCACTGGAATGAATTTCAACCAATCATATTCGAGCCTTGTCTAATTTGCAAACTACGAGAGAGACCATTTTTGGACTGTAATAGTAAAGACCTCGCAATTGTGGCGATTCTTACCGGGTCCTTTGGCGCCTCCGCCCAGGATACGTCCGAGTCTGAAGATGACAGACCTCTCGTACTCCTGCACGATCTTCACAGTCATGAACACTGCCACTGGGAACGTGAGCACCACCATCACCACTGAGACGAGGATGATCAGCTTCCCACAGATTCCCTGGTCCTCGTCCCCTTCTGAGAACAAATGACAGATTGCAAAAGTTTAATGCTAAATTACAACTTTAATTAACATTAGAATTACAACTGTATGACTTTTTATGAAACAGCCACCGATGAAACCGGTCTCGTAAAAATTCTCTCCTAAAATCCATAGAAGGAGGTTTTAACATTTCACACTATTAAAAAAAATTAAGAAAAATTGAAATACTTCACATGAAAAATTCATCAATCTGGACGAATTCTGAAGTTAAATTTCAAGTGGCTATGAGATTTAGATGACTGACAAAAACAGCATAAAAAATAACCTGGTTGGAAAAAACGCATCGATATGGAAGAAATTCTATCGATAATGGAAGCCAATGTAGAATTTAATCCATAATGGTAAATTGGACTCAAAATTACAAGCATTTATTTCATGAATTTAATTTATGTTCAGACAAACCATTTTTAAGAGTAAATTCCAAGGCATAAGATATTGCCTTGAACTGTCTCGGACGTACAAGCGCATTAATTCACAGACATTGAATGCTTCACAGTAGAAGCAAACGATAATTGCATGTTACCCATCACCTATTACATATGCTACTGATCAACTTACCGGATTCTCCATCCTTGAGGTGACGATTTTCCATATTCACACTGGTCATAGTTTTTGTGGTCGGTCAAATAAATCTGAAAAAATTGTGCATGAAATTTCAAGCACGTATTTAGATCTAATTAACACAAACTTGAATGAAAAAGAAAAACAAGGCGACTTCGCAAGCGGGAAAATGGTAAAAAAACAGCTCTACAAAACGGTAGAAGAAATATCTACACAGAGGCGAGGCGGAGCTTCGCATCACTTGCGATACAACAAAGCGTAGCATTGCAAGCTACCAAATACACAATGACATGGAGAAGTCGAAAAAAAATTGAAAAAATCAACAATTTTTATGAAATACAAAATATTCAACCTCAGAAAAACAGACCAGGACACAACCACTAGCATTAAACAAGCTTCCGCGCGTTCACTAAGCAAACATGACGTGGTTAGACGATAAATTGATCCGAAAACAAAGAGTGCCAGAGGAAATGGTCAAAAAAAATTTGTGCGATTAAAAAATTTGAACTTTTCGGCCGAATAAAATTTCTAAGCGAAAAAAAAAGGGAAATATACCATTCAGAGATAGTACATTTACAAAACTACAGGAACCAAAAACGCAAAAAAAATCATAAGTTTGGCAACTAGGCCGACCAAATATGAGCCGACAAACTATAGTCTGACTATTCAATTTTTCCCGAAAAAAAATTAAAATTCAGATACTGAAAAAAAAACAAGATCCGGCCGGGAATCGAACTCCAAGAAATAAGGCCAAGAGAGAAGGGGCGTGGAAGTTGCTAAGAATCGATGATAAAGTCGAAAACAGTGATTGTGACAGGACTAGTTTTCAAAAAATTTGAACATCAGTTTCCATTACACAGTGTAAGAAAAGTTGTTTACGGGAAAGTCTAAGTGTGGAATGATTATTTGAATGTCGCTTTTTGAATTGATACGCCCTGCTGAAATAATTCGCGCTTAAGCGTTGAGCATCACGAATGTATAACTCATACAAACTTTTTGATAAAGTAGACCAGCAAATTGACAAACTTCAATCTTCCCAAAATTTATGAAAAACGATAGCAGGTTAAATACTTTTACATTTAGGCTTAGGGTGTGAATGGCGAACGTTCAGTGGTAGTATAGGCTTTAGGACTAGTGTCCAAGGGTTTTCACACTTCGTTTTCATCCGGCACAAGTTTGAGTAGTTTTTCCCCAAAATTTTCGGGTATTCTGTCTGCGCATAAAGGAGGATTCCACCTAATTTTTTGAAAACTAGTCCTGTCACAATCACTTTTAACAAAGGAAAAGAACATCATTAAATGTCCTTTGTGTTAAATGTCATAAGCCGTCCATATTTGAACTGCTTTTGATGGAAAAAGTGGTAAGTTGACAGAAAAACATTACCTACGTTGTGTAATGAACTAAAATATCCAGTCGAGTCTAGTATCTCCCATACTTTAGTCAGGCTACAACTTATAGCGTGATTAAAACTATTGCTGACCACCGCCGTTGCTCATTAGCATTTCTTTTTGAGAGGGCTGTGAACAATTGTTCTTCGTTTTCTTAACTTCTCTGGTTTACGTTCATAACTATCGCGGCTATTTTTCTTCTTTCCGAAATTGAATTACTGCTCAATTTTTTCATTGTTTCAATTGTATGAAAACCAAAAGCACGTATTTCTTTTGTATAAATGACACTTTTATAAAAACTTTGAATGGAAAATTATGAAACAAAACAACAAACCGCAAATCGAGTCTAAGTTTTCCCCAATTTCTTAGTCACACTACCACCTTTAGCCGACTTGAAAATCTTGTTGACCCCGCCCATTGACATTGCTTTTCGACCAATGCCTGTGAACATATTGCTCTTCTTTTTCTTAACTCCGAAACCCTTCGGTTTACAAGAACTTTTTTGCCTAAAGCTGGTAATTTTAGCAGAATGATCAATTTGCGTTGTATTGAATTCTTCACTTTTATCATCAATTACTATCGCGACAGCTTCGTTTCTGTTTTCATTAACTGAATCTTTAGTCACTTTGTTTTTCTTTTGACCGACACTTTTCACTGAATGCCTGGCGTGTGAAAGATACGATTCTAATAATTCTTCTTCAGTGAGCAAGGAGTCATTGATTATCTCATCGAACTCCCTCATTTTCCTATCTTCCATTCTCTTTTCCAAAAGAGCTTCTAAGTGAGGATTTTGCCCATTAGCCGAAAAGCGACCAAATTTCATTTCTAAGCATTGATTGAATGATATAATGGGAGGAAATTTTTCAACAGGTTTAAACTGATCTAGTCCTGGGATGTCTAACACCCAGTATTCGTCATTAGTGGGCGCAAAAAGAGTCTGTTCAGATTGTTCTTTGTCTATTTCTTCAGCTCTTGTCCGTCTCATGAACTTCATTTGCTTCAAATATTTCGATATTTCTTGTCGAGGCATACCAACTCTTAAAAATATGCGATTTAGAAGAGGACAATTTATTGAAGGTAATCAGAAGGTCAAAAGTATCATAGTAACCGAGGTTACAGTCAGGAGTCCCTTAATCGCGTATTCCAGTCAAAATCCTTGGAATTTTATAGATATGGAAGTGATAATGATATAAGAAGATGAAGTGTTTAAGTCATTTTCAATTAAAATCGATACGGGTTACGTTTCTTCAATAAGAACACGCAACTCGGCACGAGAAAATATAATATACAAGTGTTACAAATAAAAAATTTCGTCGAAAGTTATTTCGTCATTTATTGTTCTGAGTACGCAGCGGCATTTGCAATCTGTATTGCCAGGGAGATTCTCTGTTTCAAAATGCTGCCTGCTCTGTGTTCCTCACTGCATATGCTTAGGTTCTTACAAAGCTTGCTCAAAAAAATTTCTCTGCTGGGGCCAGCCGCGCCCTGAATTTCAAAAGCTAGCGGTTGAAAAAGATAAATATCATCTACAAGAGCTTTAAACTTGTCATTTTTTCGCTCTTCCGCTTCAGCGGCAGCCGTGCCAGGGTTACAAACAGAAAATTTCTGACATTAAAGTTTAGTACATGTTTAAACATGACTAAAAATTGCAATTTCTGAAAAATGTGACATTCGACCAGAATGGCCAAAATGCAATTTATGCAGACTTCGAATTTTTAGCAGTAGGCCTTCCGGATTGACGATTATTAAGAATTAGGAACGTTATTGGAACGATTGGCCAAACGGTGAGGGCTAGAATATTCTGGTATTTTAAAATTTCAAAAATTCGAATTATGACGTCATAATTCTGAGAAACGTCAGAAACGGCCATTTTGACTAAAACGAGAAAGAAAAAGAGAACAACATTAGCTGCGCTAGCAACAACAACGAAATTGAGATCGGAAAACAACAACGAGTTACAGAGTAACAGAAGAACACTCCGAGTTGCAACTATTGTGCTGCTACAATAGTTGCAAGGCCGTTGCGAACAACGGTGAAGGGTGAGAGACGACCTTCCGGATTAAGAGAAAACCAGGATTAGCGAGCTTGATCCAGCGGATTCATCAATCCGGAAGGGTAAAGGAACTGAAACTTTTATCCTGTTACATAAACTTTTAGCTTCCTGTCATGTCCTGACTTGAATTTAATTAATATCTGGATTCACTTTGATAGGGATGAGAAGCTAGGAGTTGGGGGAAAGGGTTGATCCATCTTCGATGGAGATGATGATTTTTATCTACTGAACAAAAACAAGAGGGTAATATAATAAATAGTAGTAGCCCTGTTTTTAGGAGTGACCTCGTGGTCTGGGGATACTGAGACCCAGCCATGAGCTCACTTTTTCTGCATGTAATCTAGTTAATTTGAGTGTTTTGACCGAAGCCGAAGGCAGTAACGTTTTTGTCGACCCGATGATAGAAAAGACCACCGAAAAGTACTGGCTTGGTAGAGACGGTGAAAAGCATGCAAAGCTCTGTTTAGACGCTAGCCAGTCGTCTTAAGACTTAGTTTTGTTTTCCGTCGATATGTATCTTCCGGGCGAATGTTACATGTATGTTTTTATGGCGCTCCTGGGTGTTATTCTTTTTTAACATCATGACCGGCAGAACCGTTAACGAGCACTCCGCGCCGAGCGGATGCTCACATTAACGCCCTTAATAGGCCTAAACCGCCGGGGCGGAAGGGTAGTTCGGAACGCGGAAGCCTTTCGGATTACCGTGAATAGTTTTTTAACCTAGTTAAGACCGAAAATTTACGAACCAGGAAGGGTGGGGGGATTCGCGGTCCCGTCATTTCCTGAATGGTCCGTGACCAAAAACACTTAAAGATATTTACAAAACCAAACAAAAAGTAGTATAGTACCCAAGAAAAACAAAAAAACATTAAAAAATAACCGAAAAAACCAAAAACAGTAAAAAAAAAAAGTAAAAAATCAGTAGAAAACATCCCCCCAGACAAGATGTGATCCGACCCCCCCGTTTGTTGTTGATAGATATATTGTTGTTACAGGCATTTATATCAGTCAAGATCGTTACGATCAGTTTTGTAGCCCGTTTGTGAGGCTTTTACTGTAGGGTTATTTGAGCATTTAAGCACGTTAATGATAAATTGCGCTCAATCCGGAAGGGTCAGCTGATTTGCGCTCAATTCGGAAGGGTCTTGGGAGAAGACTGATCCGGCAAGCAGTACAAGGAGCAACAAGAAGAGGCTCAACGACAACAACAATCGACTGTTGGGTATCGTTAACAAGTTTTGTATCCCTTTTGGTACAAAAATTAAAATAGTAATCTGTGGGGGGCTCGACAGTGCTGCACTGTAGTGACCCTTCACCGAACTGCGAATATCCGAGTTAAGCACCTTAATTCGGATATTAAACAAACCCGGAGGGGTATAGTATTACTAATATTATTACTTATATAGCCTATTAATAGTCTTATATCGTTTTTCAGTGAAAAACAACGAAAACAGACCGGTTTTTAGGGTCAAAATAGCTATATTTTGATCCCCCCACAAGTCGCGATTTTTGAGATATCGATATTTTTTCAAACGGAAAAAAGCGCTAAGTTAGTGTGTTACATCGTAACTGTACTACCACAATAGATAGAACCGGTTAAGTTTAGTTCGGAAGTGGTTGGAACTATTTTGG